TGGATTCTTTGAGTTCATTAGATTCAATGTCGGACAGTGGCTCCTCAACTTCGACTGAGAGTCTATCGGACGATTCAAAATACAAGCCCCTGGTTGAACCAGGTCGTCCAGGGCGTGGAGGATACACACTTAACCGAGGCTTTAGACTGGAACCGCCAAGGGCATATACTAAGTTCAAGGTGAGTGACGTGCTCTCACCACAACGTGCTATTTGCTCATAAGCACAAGAAATTTATGCACAACCTCATTGAAGAACATCTCGATACAACCAAGTGTGCTTCATCCAAGACCATGCACTCCTGAAAGTTGTACGCGACAAAGTAAGTAGACCACAAATGGCAATTGTCCGAGAATTTATTATTTGTCAGTCTGTTGATGCTTTCCCGGACTTAGAAAACTACAAGGGCTTTTGGCCGCTGAATGATATGATCATGATGCATTTGAAATATACATCAGGTCATGCTAGGCAGAAGCAAGCAAGGATGGTCGTGGGCAAGTCCAAGAGCAAGAAAAATTCATGAAAGAGGGGTAATATAACTGATATCGATCTAATCTACAGTAAAATAGATTCACACTATACCCCATGTACTACGTTTACTTGAATTACTAGGGATCGTTGCTCCCGATGAAGACACATAGATGTGTAACTCATGTATCTTCTAACGGAATGGCAAAGCGCTTAACCTTATGTAAGTCTCGTTTAAAGTTTCAATGAAGTCTTGCCTGATATCAAGTTTATTCTATTCTTGTGTACTAGCGTTCACGATGCTTGTGACAAAATGGTGCCATCACGGCGAACTTCATAATGTATTGAATACAAATCATTATATTACTTCATATCAAACTACCTTGCTGATGATGATCCTGGAAGCCAACTGGTGGTTTACCTGAGTACTCAAGGGTTTCACGACGGTGAGAGTACGTGGGAGCTTCGCTTGAGGGTAATGTTTAATACTTCGTATAAAACTAATGAATACTTCATCAATGAGGACTGGAATCACTTCCAGTAATGATGCTTACCGATGCATGATGAAGTCTGCAAGCGAGTTGTCCCTGCCTCGCATGTTCACAACAGAGCCAGCGCTAGCACCAATCCTCATAACAACTGCATCACCTGTTAAGACCATAGCTCAAGGGTAGACGGGATCTGAAGGGCTTGGCCTCAGCTCATGTGCTGTGCCCCTTACCCAAGTACGTGCCCTTAATTTCAGAATGAAGTCCAGATGGAATCCGACGAAGTCCAAAGGACTTCCAGAGGCTGGCTACTCTAGTAGAGTGCTAGAGGACTTCCGGATGAGTGCGAGAAACTTCCGGAGGAGTATAGGAAACTCCGGAGGAGTTTCATCCGCTGTATCAGATCCGAAGGTAAGACTTCCCAAGGTAAGTTCCCTAGATAGAAACACATAGAGGATGGGCTGCAAGGGACAGAGTCCAAAGCAGGATAGGATAAGAGGAGTGGTCCGAAGGACAGGACGTCCGGAGGTCCAAAGGTTAAGATGTCCGAAGGTTACGTCGTCCGAAGGTTATGACGTCCGAAGGTCCGAAGGTTTACGAGGACCGGAGGAGTGGACAGGATTAGGACAGGAGGGGAAAGGCTACTATGGACAAGGTCCGGAGTAGAAACAAACAGAGGTAGACTACACTTATGGTAGAGTCAGATAGACGGGGTTTAGACAGAAGTCTCGGAAAGACAGGAAGTGCCGGAAAGGCAAAACTTCGCTTAGGGAATCAATCCCTAAGCATGGATATAGACGGAAGGATAAATACGGAGGACCGGAAAGTCGGCCTAGGGAATCCTTCCCTAGGCCTAAGGAAAGGTCAGACTAAGATGGACCAAAGTCCGAGACAAGAATGAGTGAAGTCTAAGATGTGAGAGAGCAAGTCTATGTTGATACAGAGCAAAGTCTAAGGCAATATTCGAACTAAGGAAACTTTACAGGAGTTGTACAGATCTTTATATACTGGAAGGGATCCGAGAGGATTGGTAAGCTGAACACAAATGCTATGCATGAGCATGTGGGAACATATTAGTAAGTATGAACAGAACATAAGTAAATGAACTCAGATATGAACAGAGTACAAGGATCAATAAGCAAGACGGAAACACAGATAACCGAAGTCCGGAGTCAAGGGGATTACCATAAGGAGATAGACGCTGATTGAAGGTTTGGGCCTCAGATATGAGTATAGGTCGGATCCGGAGGTCTAGAGATATCGGATGAGCGGATCTGGAGATCTAGGTGAAGACGAGACTAGGATATGGATCATGGATATAGACCGATAGTCTAGGGAAGTAGAGTCCAAGATGGAATGAGCTCGGATCCGATAGGACTAAGGGTGGATGGAGCAGGCTTAGCTGCGGAGGTCCGAAGGTATTGATATATGGATGTACGAAGGTGTATGGATCCAAACCGATAGTGGACTGGAGGACTGAAGGCATGGATAAGGGTATGGTGTCATGGATAAGGGTATGGTGTCATGGATAAGGGTATGGAGGTCCGGATGTGCATCCGGAAGGTGTCCGGAAGGCGTGGGAACATCATCAGACGTAGGTCCGGAATACGGGATATGACAAGTGACCGAAAAGTCTAAACACAATAATGGTAACATACATAAGTAGGATCCAAGCCGAGCCCAAAATTTAAACATTGATGACGCTGACTCCCATTACCATGTCAAAAACACAGCATCATGTCCATGTTTCACATTGAGCAGGAAACATACAAACAGCCAGTGATACGGACCTATTTGATGACAACGATATGGAAGACGCTGAGAGTCAGACCAAATCCCAGTTTGACACACCAAAATACATAGTACGTCCACATTCATCGAGCGATCGATGAATCATGCCGGGCTCAGTGTCTGTTCTAGGTATCGCAAGAGGCCTCCACGATGGACTTGGACAATGTCACAAGCCAGCCCCCAACAAGGACCACTCTGCCCAACAAGAGGGAAAAGCGAGTCGCCGATTTGGTACATCTAGGTAGTATGATTCAAGGTTAATGATGTTAGACTTAGTTTGATCAGGTGCTGCCTGACAAGCATCGCTTCAAAGAAGTCGACTACTCACAGACACTACGTACAACTGTGTACAGTCAGGAGGAAGTGATTCACAATATGCAAACGGTTCATAGTATTTCACTACACATTGTCAATATCTGACACGTGGCCTCTGTAGCAAGTGGAAAAACAAAAACTTGAACATGAGCAAAACATGAACGAGATGAAACAGCAATGGGAAACAACTCTGAGAGAGTGGCAAGAGCAACTAGCAAAGGCCCAGGAAGAAATCAAAGTAAGTCCTGCTGCCGCATGTGACCACCAGATGTACGCTGATGACTATGACAGAGGACCCGTGTCCAGCAGCAGCAGAAACTTGAAGAACATATTAGAGAAACTCAGCACGTACTCAACCAGGCTAATCGCGAAGGAATAGAGGCCACCATGGTAAAAATCCACAAGGACGCTCACGACCACTTGACACAAGAACGAATACGATGAGAAGCAGAGCTGGGTGAAAAGCTGGTCCAACATGAGGAAGAGTTGAAGAGAATGACAAATGAAGAGGTAAGGTGAATAATTTGACAGGAAAAACAGTTGATAACATGGACAGTTGGCAGAAGAACGGGCGCAGCGAGAAGCAGAGCTGTGTGAAAAACTAGCCCAGCGTGAGGAAGAGTTGAAGAGAAAGACAAACGAAGAGGTGAGGCGGGTAATCCGACAGGAAAATGGTGTGATAACAATAAACAGCTTTGAGAGTGCGAGAGTGCGATACTCGCCGAGATGGACCGAAGGTTTCAGCAAGAAGTGCTGAAGTTAAAGGTGAGAACATGTTTTGTATATAAATGAAAACATGCTGAAATACTTACCAGGCAGAAAAAGAGAGCGAGCTGGCCAAGATGGAACAGAGATTTTCCAGGCGCCACAGGTCTCAGAACGAGGATGTAGATATGAACAACCCCACTGTACCGGGAGATGTAGGACAACCATCTCCATGCGCAAAACCACGGCCAGGTACCTTGGATGCAATTAAGAGAATAAAAAGAACTCGGGGAATATCGCACAGAGTTCGCCTTGTATCGGTAGTATCGGAGGTAAGCGCCTGATGTCATTGACTGTGATTTAAACTTACATAGTAGTAGGTTGACGGAGAGGAAGTACCTCAGCAACACTCATCCAAACAAGACGTACTACTACCTCCACAACACGATACACAGCCTGCTACAACGATGGAAGATGCGATTGCAAGAGGTGTAGAAGCCGCACTAAGACACGTTTTAATCGACAAAGAATTTCTACTCACCAAAAAGCACAGTCCCCAGAGAAAAAAGGTAGAGGAAAAAGAACTCCGGCAAGAGAAGGCGGCTGAGAAAAGCTATGAAAGAGACTTTCTTTTGGTAAGCCAAAACATGGTATGGAGGCTACGACTTACAGTGATGTATAGGGAGAAGTGCAACGTCTCTTCAAGGACGTTTCAGCATTTCTCAAGACAGCGATTTCATGCTCCATGAGCCAGCTAGTCATGAGGACGTCTATGCATACGAATATAAAGACGGCCCAGGTCCCAACTGCAAACATCTCGCCTTTGATCTTAAAGGTGGGCCCAAAAGCCCCTGGAACGATAAAGTCATTGGCTTGCTCCTTGAAGAATTGCAGAGAAGGGGTGACCAAGAGAGCTGGCCATTCCGAAGATCAGAGGTGTATTTTAGGGAAGTTCTTCAAGACCGCTACAAGCGCCTGCGTACAGTCTGGACAGCTGCACAACCAAAGGTTACAGCAAAGGGCAGATTGGAGACTCCTGCAGAGGTGGAACAGAGGCTAATCACGAAGAAAGATGAGGCTTTGAAAGTGACTCATCAGACAACGCGTCGAAAAAATGTATGTTCAAGAGCTTCATATTATTCGGGTACTGATGCCTTCTCAGAAACATCTTCGCAGAGTTACGGTTCTTAACCATCTCGTTAAGTACAAGACCGACAAGAACGAGGAAGACCTCCCGGCCTGGCAGTGGCTTCAGCAACTGGTCAGGACGTTAGGAGAAGGCGGCATGAGTTCGGAGGAGAGTGACGTCGAAAACGATATCGAGACAGTTCTTCGTGTCAAGAACATGACTTGGCGCCGTCCGAATCGAACAGGAATTGGATATTATTGATCACCAAAGAATGGTGGATGATGATATTTTTGCACCTCAAGGTTCAAAGCCGATGAAACGGATACGCTCATCTGGGAATCCAAAGACATCCAGAACAGAAGTGGACAGATTACCTAAAGCATTGTACAACGAGGAATGGCTTGCGGGTTTGACAAAGCGTCAATTCGAGAGGTTATCAATCTCAGATGAAACATTTAAATGGGTGAGAGTTGCGGTAGCATAGTGTTGAACGATGTACTAGTGCATGGGAGGGTGTAATATCTCGTGGGATCTAGGAGTAGAGGATGGGTGTATAAATAACATGTATTTGATAAAGCGAGCAGAGAACGTACGTGTCTAACAATCCAAAAGACGTTGAAGCAAAATTTCGAGTCAATTGTACTGGCAATCGAGTTTTCTGTGAACACGTCGTGCGCCCAGTTTCTTCGTTGTAGGTGGCTTTGGGCAGCGTAGCTAGCTCGTGTCATCAATTATGCGGCATCCATCTAGCATGTTGAACTCACTATTTCTAAGCGCGCCCAACATGGCTAGCAGTGCAGCATCAAACACATTGCCATCATAATTTATACACATGCAGTCCACATAAAGCATCCAAACAGCTTTTCCGGGGTGAACGCACAATGAACATAACAAAAGTGCGCCTGAGCTGTGTCGGGGAAGAATAAAAGACATGAGTTCAAAGTCAAACACACACGAAGTGGGATAACTTATGCGATGAGAGCTTCGTTTAGTCTATCAGAAAGGACTTGGGCTCCTTCTGTCAGAGGACCTGGTTTGAATTTTGGGGAGCAGATTGCAGGCAAATTGATGTTGGGTACTATGCAATTTTAGAATGAATCAGCTCCTACTGTTATGTGTAGAAGGAAGGAATGGAAGAATCACCTAAAAACCCTTGTTCAGGGTGATCGAGCTCAGGCTCTGCAATTTCTGCCTTGACGCCACAAACGATCGTGATACTCCCATGCGCACAAGAGCAGAGCCATCAGCCGTAGAAATTGATCCTGCAGCGCGCACATCATGCGTAAGCACTGAAAAGTTGGACAAATCACGTACCGACATTCACAGAAACGTTGCGCTACTCATCGAACGTCGGTGACAGTATCACAGACTGTCGCACCCACCAGTAGAAGTCCAGCAGACACGATAGTACAGACCGTCGCGTCGAAGGAGAGAATAAGGGACGACACGGCGACAGTACAGAACGTCAAATCCACCAGTCGAAGTCCAGAAACGCGACAGTACAGACCGTCGCATTGACAAGTCAAAGTCAAAGTCCACCGTTGTGTTGAAGGAGGAGGAGAGGATGAGGGATGACGCGACAGTACAGACTGTTGTGTTGACAAGTCAAAGTCAAAGTCCACCATTGTGTAGAAGGAGGAGAAGAGGATGAGGGATGATGTGACAGTACAGGACCGTCGCGTCGACAAGTCGAAGTTAAAGTCAAAGTCCACCGTTGTGTTAAAGGAGGAGAGGATAAGGGGCGACGTGACAGTACAGACCGTCGCGTCGACAAGTCGAAGTCCACCGTTGTGTCGAAGGAGGAGGAGAGGATAAGGGATGACATGACAGTACAGACCATTGTGCCAGGTAGAGGTTGAGGCCCAAGGTATAAGCTAAGTATTATAGATATCAGTAAGTGTAAGGCTGAATCAATTCATCAGAAGGTACAAACATTCGCAAATAAAGTCACGTGCAAAGCAAACTCAACCGACTCAAAGTCTCAGTCAACCCATACTCCTACTAGTACCATCTATATTTAGGACTCAGCCATCTGTACTGCTGAGTCTTCTCTTCTCTTCTCTTCGACTTGGACTCTCATCACCTAGCGGTCTGTACTGCTAGGCGTTGGCGTGTTCCACGCGACTACCTCTGTGTGGCGTATACTAGGCGCCTCAAATTTAAACCCCGCTGCAAGGCTTGTTCTGGTGTTATTGGCTGCACGCAACTGTTGCTCTCCGCATTCTCTCGATCCTGCAATGGTCTGTACTGTTGCTGTGTTCTCTCGAACCCATCCTCGGCCTGTTGCGTGTAACAGTTTGTACTGTTGCACACTTTCTTTCATCGCCCACTCCTCCCACTAATCGCAAAGCACTATGGCACCCATGGTGACTCCCAAGCTCCATGTAATCACGCACAAAGGGCAAATTTTTACATCCTTAAATGTGTCCTCGCTTCCTGCCACGATCCCTCCTATCCCTCGACCCTGGAATCCCATACTCGAATCCGATTCTTCATCCGACAGCATCAAAGATGCATTGACCACTCAGTGGGCTTACGAGACACGCCCATGGTTTCCCCTTATTGCGGCATGCCCTAATTTTGATGGAGCTGTCTTTGCATGCCTCAATCATTTGCTCTACTCTTTGCCCATAGAGTCTACACCCGATGGCTGCTATATCTTGCGTGGAGATGTTTGGTGAGAATGGGAGAGTCTAGAGCAGAAGTTACTGTGGTGCTCGCAACGGTTAGCAGTAAACATGCATTTTCCTTGGTGTGGCCAAGCCCCCAGACCTCTCAAAGACTATGGGTACCTGAGGTCCCATGCCGATGCGAGGTTGGCAAAGAAGGTCGCTCTGAGATCTCGCGACATATTCTTAGGTATGTTTTTCATCTATATGCGCTGATCATGGCTGATTGCATTTATTTTCAGGGATTTCAGCTCTCTGCACATACTTCATTATGGCACGCCGGTATCGACCCCATAATGACTCCCCCACCTGGACTTCTCTCTTAACAAATGACCCTCGATGTCTGACATATACCATATATCCGGTTACAGATCCGATGATCTGGATCTCAGATCCGATCCAGATCCGATGAACATATCCGTCGTCCGGTCCACAGATCCGCTTTGATTCTTATTTCATTTCCTGTTCATATAACTCTAACTATCGTTCATCTCCTTTCGGTATTCCTGTACACCGGTATACCGGTTATCCTTTACTTCCGCTTTGCTTACTGATCCGCTATGCTTACTGATCCGCTACACTTACGAATCCGCTTTTACTTGTACTTCATTCCCGGTTCATGATTCGTGATCCATCCAACTTACCAATACGCTCCACTTAGACTTTGCTTATACTTTCGTACATAGCCTCGCACCTTTGCTTATGGATCATTCCGTTAGCTATCCGTAGTATATAAACCTTTGTATATGCGCTGTAGTAGATCAGTTCGAATATCATCTTAGATTGCACTCATTCCGTCTGGACTCTGAGTCCCTCCGTTATCCATCCGGACTTGAGTACGCTACTCTTGTCAACTCCGAGACTTAGGATAGATTCCTATAGTCTACATATCCGCCTCTGTCTTCGGACAGTCCTCACCCGTTAGTTTCTAGTCCAGATCCGATCCGGATTGGCCGTTACTCTATATACGCGATACTTTAGCTCTCTGAAATAAGGGGCAAGACTCGGGAAAGGGGCACAGCGCACGAGCTGAGGCCGAAGCCCTTCGGATCCGATACTACTTGAGTACGGTCTTAACAATGTCCTATCCTATCTGCATGGGTGATGGAACTTTCTCGCACATTTGTCGGGGATCTTACGGATGCCGTACCACACAATGGTATGATCATTGATAGTGCTTATAGTCTGGCCTGGGACACGGACGTGATCATGTTTGAACACTTTAAAGTTCCAATCTGGGTGCATTGGCCTCCTGACGTTTCCGGCAACAAGATGTGGAAGCGCTACCACCCCTCGGCAGACAATCTCACTGGAGCGACTTGCGCTACTTTGAGCGAATTGCAAAACAATGACGCATGGGGCATTCAGTCCGATTCTCATTCTTGGCTCACCCAGTCAAATGATATGTGTGACCCTGAGTCGAGCCAGCCAGCACCGTTGTCCACTCAACCTCAACAAGACCTCTCTCATTTTCCCCTTCCTCATAAAATAGTGGGCAGAGGCATGGCGAAGATTGGCAGGCGTTTTTTGCGCACAAAGCCTTGCAGAACACGAAGAAGGAGGAGAAGGAGACCCCGTCTCAACGACAGGCTCGTCTGAGTCGTCAATGTTCGGCCAATAATCACAGCCTTCCCGGCAAGTCCAGTAGGATTTGGGTGTTTGAATGGCAACCCCAAGATGATTACAATGATTTCATGTTGCGCACTCACATCACGAAGGCTAGGGTTGAGGAGGTCTGGGGAGACTACAACAAGTTCACCAGGATCTTTGATTCTTTTTCCAATCAATGGGACTTATGTCTCGCACTCGACCCCACTAGCATCCCTGACGGTGATGATCGCGAAGATGACAACGATATCATGCCCCCCTTCTCCATAACTTCCCCTTCTGAGGTTCCACCTCCACCCCCTTCCAGTTTTGCCAATGATATATACACATACTTCGGCAGCGACGTTTCACTTTCGTCAAGACATACACACATCAAAGGATTTGTTCCTGTATTGCATTATCACTTCGGATATTGAAGCACTGCCCCTACCTCTGCACCCACCATATCATTCCTACCAGCGAATGACTGGATTAAAACGGCCAGATGGGATCAACTTTGCAAGCTCCTTGGTGATTCATCAGCAGAAATGGGTTCGATCACAGAGCCACAACGTCAATGCATCACGAAGTTCATTGCATGTTTCGTCAACATGAAAGAGTCTGACTTGAACACAATCCCGCCTGACCTTTGGGATCTTGGACCCCTCCCGTCTCTACAAATTTCACATCCTTATATTCGTATCTCACGCATGCAGCTATCGGAATGTCGGTATTATATAATTGAGCCCCACAAGTCCCCAAATCTTGTAGTCTGGACTCTGGCTGTCCTCAACCCCATCACTGCTGTTATGTGCCTGTGCCGTGATTGGGGCTCAGACATGAAGCAGATTGTGTTAGCTTTGCTTCAAAGAGGCATCGGATTCAGGACCTTACAGCGAATGAGTGTTGCGCCCAACCAGCGTCGCCTCCTTTCTGAACTTTGTACCTACACGTTAGGGCATCGATGACCCCCCTTCAATCCCCTATATGCTGATTATATCGTGTATGAGCAGCTATGCCATGAGTTCATGAATTGTCCCCGGGCGAGGGCTGCGTTCCTGCATGGAGGACTCATATGGTGGTTGGCCTTGCACAGCCTTGGTTTCAATCACCTTCCATCTGTCCTCAACGGTATTTCAACTGAAGCCATTCCGTTTGGCAAGCTATTGATTGGCAATGGTGGTCAGACTTACTATGACAATGGGTTATCGGAGGAGGAAATTGATTTCATGTATGGAACGTACTGCATAGACCACCGTAAGCTTTCTACAGTTCAGTCCCATCAGCACTAATAGTCATACTTTCTAGGTGACAGTCCGGAGATAGTTTCATGGTGGCCTCAGCCCAATGCTTGGAATGTGTCGGGCTTAAATGTTGGTTTTTGGTCTGCTTGCTGTGAAGACTGGTTCCAAGGACGTCTTGGTAATCTTCAAGAAGGGGTTTCTCGCATGCGACATTCGCTCATTAAGGACGCCAATGGTCCAATGACCTCCACACAATGGAAGCGCTCCCTTAAATTTCAACCTGCTACTAACAAGATCATGTGCAACATTTCGGCAGCAAGCTATGATTTCATGACAAGAGCATCAAGTAAGAGTTCCCTCACTCCCTTTCTCATTCATACTTACAAATTTTGCGTAGTTTGGACTCAGACATAGTTTTTACTGTGCTGTACTTGTATGATAATGAAGACATTCATTTTAGTCTGATTGCCATTTGTCCTTCATGAGTGGGCGACGATTGAGTGATGAGCGGGCGATGATCGGGGCGATTTATTGAAGTTTCGCCATCACATTTTGTTGCCAGCGTAAATTTCAAATTTTTGGTAGTCCCTTATTGTTCAATGAAACTTAAAATATTGGCAAGCATATAGCAGTGGATTAAACTTCAAGTTTCGTACGAAGTTTTATGCGATAATTAAATTTAAAATTCAAGCAGACGCTGGAAATCCAATTATATTTCTTGTTTGTGTTGAGGTATAGTCAGTGAAAAAATGGCCGTGGATATTTCATATTTTGGATTTCGTACACAACGATGACTAAATTTGAAGTTATGTGTCCCTCTTTATGTCAGTTCAAACTCCAAATATTTTCTTCACATTTCGTACAACGTGTAAACCTATCCTAAATATCGACAACCCCGATGTGCGAGTTCCACGGTGCTGGTGATGTCACGCCTAAACTAGACATGAACCAAATATGCGCAAATAAAGGCGGCCAAGCTCACTCGACTCAGCTCTGTTAACTGCTCTTACTGACTAGTCCGTAGTGATGAATGTTAATGAACTTTGTCCTTCCTTGGTCCTTCCAATCCTGTGACTCGTGAGCATCACTGCACCAGTACTCACACCTAGGCCTGATAACCGAGGTCTCCTGATGGCCTTTTGTCCGATTAACCTATCTTAGCCATCGCGATGAGGTTCCGGCATGTACATCGATATACTAATCCAGCCAATCGATAATGGGCGCTTCAAAACACATGTTCGGCAGCTGCCTGTTCACCTTGCGTATCATCCACGACTTTCCTCGTTACTAAGAAACACCCAAAGACCCATACTCAACGTTCAACTATCTTTCCATTTTACACCATGGACGAAGACAATCCTCGGAAGAAGCACTGGAGATTGCTGAAAGGAAGACGTTCAAACCCTCAATTTGCAGAGGAGAGACGCCACAGGGCAGCCAGTGATGTATGGACTTTCGATTTTACAACTACGTGTTGCTTCTGAATCTTATGATTTCAGCCGTCCTCTCTCCCGTCTTCGAGGAATGGATCTCCCCGGGGATTATCAAGGTTTCTTCCCAAGTCACTTAACAAGTTCGCTCGAAGCGCTCGACAGTCCCCCCAACCCTGAACCCACAATCGCAAGTTCCAGCGATATCCCGCCCATTAAGACGACCCAAGTAAGTGTAATCTCAACTCTGCATGCCTGTGTGCGATGATTGTTCTTAATTGCTCCTGCAGCATCCTTCATCACTCGTCGGCGTCGCTTCCACTCCCCAACCGAATCCTGGCCGGTCCTCCAATTCAGGCATCACAAAGGTCAGTCCGAGCAGCCTTGTCTCTCTTTTGATGATCTACTAAGGCCCATCATCAGGCGGAATCACCACCTGACACGGCGCTTATGACAGAAACGCTCGCACATGCCCAAACAGGTGTCGCAGGTATCAGCCCTATTCACGGAATCGTTCGAAATACCGCTTCAGCAACTGGGGACCTGCAATCTATTGCCGATAAGATCGACCCGTTCTCTTCGATTCTTGGTACCCTGAAGACCTTTCAAGTCATTGCTGACCAGATTGCAAATGTGCATTTGCTTATTTATACCTAGTACGTTACTGACACTCATGGATAGCTCCATCCCTATGCAAAGGCAGCATTAAGTATCTTGACTATAGCGTCCAAAGTGCGTTTTTTTTCATGTTCTCACTACCGCGAGTTTAATAGGGATATATCGGTGACAGATGATTCTCGATCAAGCAGACCTGGATGATGCCGTATCCAATCTACTCTCCAAGGTCTCCAATGTCTATGTCTCAGTGATAAAAAAGGAGGCATTGGCCAAAATTTCATCTATGATTCCGATATACACGCAGATAGCGAAACAGACGCTGGAATGCGCGGAATTCATCGTCCATTACTCACAGACGAAGAGTTTCGGTGGGTCCGCACCACCGTGTCGTTGCCTGGCACTCAATGTGGTTTCTTGTCTCTTTGTACAGGCAAACGACTTGGCAAGCACATCTTCAGGAGCACGGATGCCAAGATTCGCAGTTATAGTGATGCCCTCGAGGGTCTCATGCAACAATTCCGAGATCAAGCGTTTGGTGACGCCCTGATCATCGTGACAGGTTTAGGTAAGGATCGGCCCCGAACTCACTGTCAAACCTCTCTGACGTTCTACCATCCGTGACCTAGCCGAGGCTCAGGATCTCAGTGGCATGGAGTGTGCAGCTAAACGCCGGACTGCAAACTTCCAAGTGTTGTCTGCCAGATACTCGGGATGAGCTTTTGACCGACATCAAGTCCTGGGTCGGCAGTACTAGGGAAGACGTGCCGCGTGTCTTATGGTTGTCTGGACCGGCAGGGAAAGGGAAATCAGCCATCGCCCATACAATAGCCAACTGGTCTAACGAGCTCGGGGGTCTGGGAGCTTGCTTCTGTTTCGACCGTACACGTGGAACGGCTCAACTCCACCAGAAAATAATCACCACAATTGCACGTGACTTGGCCGATTGCAATCCTATCATGCGGAAAGCGTTGGCGCATGTGCTTCACAATCACAATGAGCTGACGCGCACTACAGACCCTCGCCAGACAGTGGCGGGAGTTGGTCGTAGGACCAATACGAGTGGCCTGGAATAAACATGATGCCGCTGCACCCGTCCTAATTGTCATTGATGCATTAGACGAGAGTGGTGATGCAATTTCCCGGGAAGAGATTCTCCGTCTGCTTACTGGCAAGTTGCGCACTTCTTCCTCGCAGCCAGCCGACCTTCCAGCAAACTTCCGTATTCTCATCACTTCCCGTCCACTCCGGGACATTGACGACTTCCTGGGCTCCGCGTCAAATGTTCGCCATATTCCCATTGATGGCATCTCGACTGCGTCCACAGAACATGACATCCGCCTTTACGTCTCCGATAAGCTAGCCAGCCCACGCCATGTATTTCACGATGGGCACTTCAAGATGCTTGCTGAGAAATCTGACGGCCTGTTTGAATGGGCTCGTCTTGCCTGTAAATACATCAATGATGAGAAGGACAAAGTGGGCGCGGATCCGATTGGCCGTTACAAAGCTGTACTCGCTGGAACATCTAGCTCTCAAACAGGAGAATATCTGTTGGATGATATGTATAGACTCACATTGAAAGACCTCATCCCAGAGAATGAGGGCGCAATCGGCATGTTTCGCTTGGTGATGGTCAAAATTATCACATCACCTGAACCGTTCTCCATGGCTACGTTGACCACAATGCCACTACATTTTCCGCGTGAAGAAGACCGTTACAAAGTAGACCAGGTGATTGGGCCAATGGGCTCGCTGATGACTGGGACCACAGATTCCCAAACTCCCATTCGTCCCCTTCACGCGTCCTTCTACGACTTCCTCACAGACAAATCGCGCAGTCTTGACTTCTTCGTTGATGTGTCATCGGTACAGAGCGGCCTCGCCTTTACCTCGCTTCGGGTCATGAAGCATGGACTTCGCTTCAACATCTGCTCCTTGGAGAACTCGTACTTGCCCAACTCTTCTGTCCCTGATTTGGAGAAAACGAGTCAAAGAATGCATTCCGGCTGAACTATCATACTCATGTCGTTTCTGGGGATTTCATGTCAGCTCTACGTCCTTCGAATCGTCACTCGCTAAGGAAGTTGAAGCTTTCTTCGATGGAGAGCGCCTTCTTTGGTGGTTGGAAGCACTGGCTCTGATGAAAAGCCTCAGTAGCTCGGTAGTGACACTCTCATCTATTGCAGGTTGGATTTCGGTGTGTAGCTCAAGCTCATTCTTTGGCCAATGAATTCTTACGAGTAGCTGGGTGGTCGTAGGGTCATGCCGAGTTTACGCATGTTAGTAACGCCACCAGGGATACCCTGCGTTTCGTCCGAACTTTCGCAGCCACCATTTTACGCAGCACTCCCCATCTATACTTGTCCGCTCTCCCGTTCGCTCCAACGCAGTCGAGAATGTTTCGCAAGTTCGCCGCAAAGTTTCCTTGCACCCCTCGCATTGTTGCTGGCCATGTCGAAAATTGGCCTCAGATGGAAATGATAATCCACACGAATGGCATGGTTTTGTCGGTTGCAATGTCGCCAGATAGAAAACGCATCGCGTGTGGTTTATACGATGGAACTATCCAGGTGTGGGATACGCAGACTGGCGAGGCGTTGTGTGCCCCTCTTCAAGGCCATACTCGATCTGTTGCGTCCGTTGCATTCTCGCCAGATGGACATCGCATCGTTTCAGGTTCATATGACACGACAGTCCGGGTGTGGGATGCGGGGAGTGGCGAGGCATTAGGATCCCCTCTCCAAGGCCACGCTGCCTGTGTTCGGTCTGTCGTTATTTCACCAAATGGGAAACACATCGTGTCTAGTTCGGAAGACAAGACAATTCGAGTGTGGGACATGAAGACTGGCGAGGCATTTGGTGCCCCACTCCAAGGGCACACGGACAAGGTTTGGTCTGTTACAATCTCACCGGACGGGAAACGCATCGTGTCTGGTTCGCAAGACAACACGATTCGGGTGTGGGATATGGAGACCGGCGAGGCATCGGGCGCCCCTCTCCAAGGTCACACCAGCTGTGTTAATTCTGTCGCAATCTCGCAGGATGGGAAATGCATAGTCTCTGGTTCAGATGACAAGACGATCCGTGTGTGGGATATGGAAACTGGCGAGGCATTGGGTGCCCCTCTCCAAGGTCACACTGACTATGTAATATCAGTTGCAATCTTGTCGGATGGAAACCGCATCGTGTCTGGTTCATCTGACCACACAATCCGAGTGTGGGATGCGAAGACTGGCGTGGCATTAGGATCCCCTCTTCAAGGCCACACTGACCAGGTTTGGTCTGTCGCAATCTCGTCGGATGGAAGTCGCATAGTCTCTGGTTCAAGTGACAAGACGATTCGGGTGTGGGATGCCGACACCATTA